CAGGCCCGTGTGATGACGGCAGAGCAGAGGATGCTGCATCACTTCCCCCCCCACGCGGTGAATGCAGGGGGAGCCCCAACCCTGCTGCCGCCCCACACCAGGTCCCTCGGAACACCCCGCGCCGCATCCCTCAGGGCAGGAGAGCGGAAGGATGCCATGGGGAAGAGGGTGGAGCAGACGCAGGAAGGGGGTGGGCAAGGGCAGGGCAGGGCAGGGCAGGGGCTGGGGTGGGGGGAAAAGTATGAACACACTCTGCCATGGCCACAGGGATTTTACACGCCGGCAGTGGATTATGGAACTGCCTGGGCTGTAGAAGGCCCCGGGGTCGCAAGTTCGAGACCCCTGTTCTAAGCAGATGCAACCACCTCCCAGATGAGACGCAGGAAGGGGGTGGGCAAGGGCAGGGCAGGGCAGGGCAGGGGCTGGGGTGGGGGGAAAAGTATGAACACACTCTGCCATGGCCACAGGGATTTTACACGCCGGCAGTGGATTATGGAACTGCCTGGGCTGTAGAAGGCCCCGGGGTCGCAAGTTCGAGACCCCTGTTCTAAGCAGATGCAACCACCTCCCAGATGTCAGAATGCCCACGTGGGGCTGGCACTCGGACGAAGAGCAACGGGTTCAAGCTGCATCCAGGCGTGACCAAAGGGGAAACGCAGGGAAGCACTAACTGAGATACAACCCCCACTAATCACGGAAAGCCTCTCACACACGTTTATCCCTTTTCTGTGTGTTGAACCAAGTTCTCTCCCGGGCTCCCTTTCCCCAAGCTTTTCTCCTTCGTTGCCCCTCTTCCAACCTGAATACCAGCCAGCTGAGTGACTACTTCCGGACGCGACCAACCTGATTTCAGTCCACTGAACGTGAGTCAGATCTAGGTATGCAGTGAGAAAGGATGGAGGTTCACATTACACCGTTTGACTCATGGAGGCTGCTAATTCTACTGCGCTTCCTCCAGAACCCCAAATCTAGTGTCGTTTCAGTACTTCTGTATTCCCACAGGGTACCTTGTCCCAGCTGGATGTCATCAGGTAGCGTGCCGGCCCAGGGATGTCTCGATGTACCACTGATTGAGGCACTGGTTTGCTCTACAGAAGCCCTGCTACTTTGCCTAATGATGCGTTACCTAAATTCTCATCTGTCCAATGGCTGCCATTGTGTTAAGAGCCTTAGTAGAGTACGCACTTGAAATGTGGGAGAAAAGGGTAACATGGTCAACTGCTTGTGAGCCAGCGCGCTGTTCTGTTCCCCGGATCCAGGCTCCCACATGCAGAATGTTAGAGCTGCTAAGCCTGCCCTATACAAACTCATCCCCTAGGGATCAGTGTCACAAGGGCTGTAGCTGGCCATAGTCTGCTTCTGCTAATCATGACCTAACAGAGACTGACTGCTGTGCTGCAGGGAGTGTGACCAAGCTGCATCCCCCACTACAAATGTGCCAGAACCCCTTGGGTATGTACTTGGATGAGTAACTGCGCCACTGCTCATGCCACCCTGGTGCGATGAGAGCTGCTGTAAGCACCTCCACTCACAATGGCAACCATAGCCAGAGTGTGCCTGCTTCATGCCATCTCAGGATCACAGGGGCAGAGAGCCGATCACAAACAGGGCAACTGGCAATGTCTGCAGTTGCAGTACACCAGCCCTCCTGCCTCCTGGCACAGGCTGGCACCAGTGCATCCGGGACCCGTGCCTGTGATAGGTTTGCAGTCAAACCTAACCCACAGCATGAACCCCTAGGCTGAGATCCTGAATGCTCACAACGAAGCGCTCATGAAAGGCTAACAATGATAAATGTCTGGTGAATAATTTCAACTTACAAAGCTGAGAAAAAGTGAAGCTGTTTATGGAGATTAGCGAACAGGAAAACAGGCCAAGGATCAGTTTTTGATCTCATACCCATCTAATCCTGGTATAAATCCATGTATTTCAGCTCTCAGTCTGGATCTGTACCAGCATAAGTGAGGTCAGAAGTTAGCTCTATATGCCCAGGAAAATTATTCACAACTGTGCTTTACGCAACAGCGGTGCCTGTGCTCTCCGCTAAATACCTCAGCACTTCTGAGAGGTCTGCCTGCTGGCCAGAGAAGCTGCCATTTTATGAGTCAGATTTGACTCAGCACGTATCAGAGGTGACACAAGGCACCCTTCTCCCAGGGAGACCAACAGGGTTCGTTCTTGGTTTTTTATTTTCTGAATCTAAGTCATTCCAACTTTCGGTACATTTGCTCTTCGTGCACCGAAAAATATTAGGCTGCAACTAGAGTTGAGAGATAATTGATACGTATAATTAATCTTTCACCGGCCCCCAAGCGGCGAGTGATCTAGAGAGTAGTGGTTCATTTACCTTGGCAATCTTTCCCATTTCATAAATGTTGGCTCTCATATCTTCCAAGGCAGTAAAGCATGCCTCGATGCTGGCAATGGTCTCCTCCGGATTGGCGCAGACATTGGGAAGCCCTTTGGGGAAGTAGAAACGTGGAATGTTTATGGACACAGGGGCATTGGCAACGGCTTTATTCACAGGCACAAGAGGTCGTGGGCTGGCTGGTGACTTCAAAGGGGCTGGGGATGGAGTCCCAGGCTTCTTTTCTTGCTTACTTTGAACCTGAAAAGATAATGCAAGAAATAAATTCTTTTCCTAGATTCTTTTTTTTAAAGGGAGGGGGAAACCCTCATGCTCCACACATGCAGCCAGACACTAACGCGCATCAAATATTCTGTAATTTATGCGTGTGCATAAAAGACACAAAAGTGCCACGTTCAAATTATTATTAATAAGGTTGCAAAGTCGATCATCTAAAAGCTGGGAAATGGCCGATTTAAAGTTGCTTCCACAACCTTAGCTCCACCCCTCGGTACATGCATATTATGACAGCGATGCCAATCATATATTACTTTTTCTACAGGGCCTCTGCCTTATTCAGCGTACAAGATGGCTTAAAACAAACAGAAGGAAGTTTTTCTTCAGTCAGCGCACCGTCAACCTCTGGAACTCCTTGCCAGAGGATATGGTGAAGGCTAGGACTTTAACAGGGTTCAAAAAAGAGCTAGACAGATTCATGTCTCCCCCCATTGATTGTTCCCAGCTTCTGGCAAGCAGAGGCTAGGGACACCATCCCTGTCCACCCTGAGTAATAGTCATTGATTGCCCTATCCTCCATGAACATATTTAGCTCTTTTTCAAATCCTGTTACACTTTTGGCCTTCACAGTTGCCAAGTCTAGAAGAAAATGACCTCGAATGGTTATGGACCAATGTCCTAACAGATAAAGCGCTACATGCGGTATTAGTTGGTGTCTAAGACCACCAAAGGACACTAGGAATTCCCTTCTACACACCCACCTACAATGTGTAAGAGAAAAAAAAACAAAAACCCCCTGCATGCTCATACAGGACTTCAATCTGAATGTCATGCACCAGAGGTCCCCAGCTGCCAGTACTGAAACATACTTGGAATTTCAAAAATTATCGATGATAGTTTCCTAACTCAAAAGCAGGAGGGATTTCTATATTATACTTAGTCTTAACTTATAAAAAAGATCTGATACAGAGCTAAAAATGAATGGTATCTCTGGTAAAAATGTTCATGACTTGATTACATTTATAATGTGCAAACAGAACAAAGTCTAGGTCAAGAATTCACATGCACTTTTTGTTTGTAGTAAGAGAGCCACCTACTGAGCGCCCCCTCATGGCCAGAGGTCACTTTGCTCTGGCCTGCCTCAGTTTCCTTCTCAGTGAGGTAATGACTTCACTGTAAGAGCCCACAAAGATAGGCCAAACACTCTATTCTGCATCAGTATCTCTTCTTTAATGGAGCCTTCTAGAAAAGTATGTGAACAACATTTACGGGTTCTTACTTTACAGCCCAGGCAAAAATTAAGAGTCACAAAACAGGAAGTCTCTGAATACCAGCAGCAGCTCCTAGTGTAAAGCCTCAAGCTTGCTCAGGGTCTTTCCCAGAGTTCTCAGGAGGAGAGATTTGTAATTCCTTCCTTCTGTTTCTTCTTTGTTTCTCTCAGGCCTCCCTTCCTAGAAATGCTGTAATCCCTTCTTCCTCCTTTTGGTACTCCCAGATGCTCTTTTATATAGGAATTACCTGACCCCTCTCAGGGGTGTCTGCATGGAAACCAGTATGATTGGGTAGGCCATAAAGATGCAAGCCATGTTGACACAGTGGTCTCAAAAGGGGCAATTTCACAAAACTGAAAACAATTATGAGCCAAATCAGCATGCAGGAAGAATTTAAAATAAAAAGAATATGAATGATAATTGAAAATTGTTTAAGAATACCTAGATACACCAAAAACCATAACCCCACAATGGAAGAAGAAAATTAAACTGGCAGATTATTTATATAAAATAAGAAAGGGTAAATTGATAGCAATGAATAAAATTCAGAAGCTAAGAAATGTAGAACTTTGATAAAAGAAGCCAAGAGACACAAGGAGAAATCTATGGCAAGAAAAGTACAATAAGGAGTTTTTAAAGGATATTAGAAACAAAATGAATCCCGACTATGGTATTTGTCCATTACTAGATGGTAATGGCAGAATTATCAATAACAATGCAGAAAGGCAGACATGTTCAATAAATATTTTCTGTTTTATAGTTGGGGATGGAATAACATAATTATATCATATGCTAACAGACTTTCCATTCCACTAGTATTTCAATAGCTGTTAAACTACAGTTACTGAAGTTAGACTTTTTAATTTAGCAGGTCTGGACCACGTGACTCCAAACATTTTAAAAGAGCTGGCTACGTAGCTTTCTGTACCATTAAATGTTGTTTTTTAATAAATCTCAGAGCAAGCAGGGAAGTTCTAGAAGCCTGTAAGAAAGCTAATGTGCCAATATTTGAAAAGCGTAAATGGGATGACATACCTAGTTACAGACCTATCAGTATCACATAGACCCTGGCAAGATAATGGAGAGGCTGATATGGGACATGATTAATAAAAAAATTAAAGTAGGGTAATAGAATTAATGCCAATCAAGATGTATTTATGGAAAATAGATCCTGCCAAGTGAACTTGGCATTTTATTTAATGAGATTACAAGTTTCGTTGAAAAAGGTAATGTTGATGTGACATACTTCAGTCTTCTGCGAGGCATTTGACTTGGTGCCACACAACATTTTTATTTAAAAAAATACAAGATTAACATGGCAAGTATTAAATAAATTAAAAGCTGTCTGACTGTTATATCTTAAAAGGTAACTGTAAACGAGGGAGCATCTAGTGGATATGTTTCGAGTGTGATCCGACAGGGATTTGTTCTTAGCATTATACTGCACTACCATTTTTATCTACAGCCTAGAAGAAAACAAAATCCTTATTGATAACGACACAATGATTGGGGGAGCGGTAAACACTGAAAAGAATAGGTCACTTACACAGAGCCATCTGCATCACTTTGTAAGCTGGGCCAAGCAAAGAATATGCATGTTAATATGGATGAATGCCTCATCTAAGAACTAGGAACATAGGCCATACTTACACGATGGAGGACTCTATCCGGGAAAGCAGCGATTCTCAGAAAGATTTGGAGGTCATAGTGGAGAATCAGTTGAACACATATCCCAGATCAAAGTTATGCCCAACAGGGCTATAAACAGGGTAATCTCAAGTAGTAGTAGAAGGGTTAATTTTACCTATTCATTTGGAATTAATGTGACCACTGCTGTAACACTGGGCCCACAATTCAAGAAGGAGGTTAAAAATTGGACAGGGTTCAGAAAAGAGTTAAGAGAATAATTAAAGGATTAGAAAACATGCTACAGTGATAAGATTCAAGGATCTCAATCTTTCTTAACAAAGACAAGGGGTTCAGTCTATATAAAATTACAGACTCAAGTAGTTACATGAGGAACAAATATTTGATAACTGGTTCTTCAATTCAGCAAAGAGGGGAACACCATGATCCAAAGGCTGGCAGTTAAAGCTAGACATTCACACTGGAAAAAAATATCTAAATTTTAAGTAGTAAGAGTAATTATTAATCATTGGAACAATTTACAAAGGATGGTGCTGGATTCCTAAGTTGCTCTTAAGACAGCAAGCCAGATCATAGCTTATCCTACCTCAAGATGACAAATGGCATTCAGAAGCTAATTATTTTGAATAGTTTGTTAATAACTGGCAGAGCCGGATGATCTTTTGCGAAGACAACTGTGTGAAAGCAAGTGGTGCCGTCTCGACGTATATAGTCAAAGACAGGGTGGCAGAGAAATTTAGAAGAACAGGCTGAAGATTTCCTCTGGCTTGGACAAAGTGCAAATGGAGGGCTGTAATACTGTTAATGGTGTCAAGACATTTGGAAAGGATTTGAGGAAACACCGCAGCAAAATGTTTAAGGATGAGCTTACATGACAGGCAGAGAAGAAACAGATGAAGCAAAAACTTACTCCACTTCATTTTCTCGTCCATGTTGTCCACCCAAAGCTTCAGGGTAGCTAAGTACAAATAAGGCTGATGCTGCTATGACATGGGCATTGAGTAATCAACCCACAGAACAGATTTCAGGGCTGGAGAAGAATCAGTCCAAACACACGTTGGCTGCTGACCCTATCTGTAAAGTTGAATCCCTGGCTGTCCAAGAAGATGCAGGGTTTGGAAAAGTCATAAGCCAGCTTTGGAGCTGACGCAGGGGAGCACGCTCGCCTGGCGTAATCTCCCAAGACCAGCTATGCTGGCTTCAGGGCAGATTTGTGTCAAAAGAGCAGCACAAAGCTGCCACAATGCAACAGAGGTCTGGATCACTGGGCATGGCACGTAAAGCAAAATACCAACCAGCCAGGCATTTGGGGACACCCCCCAATGGTGCTTCTCTTAAAAACAGTGCAACAAAGTTTTCACCATCTTTATCTATTTCTCCCTACACCTGTGAAGTTGTGGTCCTTGTCCTAAAATAACAAACAAACCAAAAAACTGTTTCCCCTTGTTTACGAATAAGACATTTTAACTCTGCACTCTAAGCCTTGATGGTCTATTTATAAACCGGTTGGTATCTGGCTGCAAATTACTCTCTGCAAATAGACAAGCCTAGAGGGAACATAGTCGCATGCCCTGCTCCAATAAAAACGCACAAAGTAATACAAAAAAAGAAAACGAAACCCCAGACTTCAAACCTGGGCCTGCTGGAATGACTTCTGCCTCTTCTTGACCCGCGATGGGAGAACAAAATCACAGCCCCTCGCAAGGAAAGCTAGCTCTCCCCTTAAGTCTGGGTCTCTTCGCAGAGAGCTTTCCTTGATCATCATCTTGTTAAGTTCCTGAGCAAGCGTTTCGCTTTCCAGCTGTGGACCACAGTCTGGGCAGGCAATCACGTCAGCCCCAGTGGGTCACTTTCTTATTTTTGCACTTCACAGGCCAGGAGCTACAAGTGATTTCAGGTAGAAACATACTAACTCTCCTCTTTCCTCACAGGGAAGTGTCCTCGCATAGTATCTCAATCCCAAAGCCAAAGCCCCCGCCCTTCCCCCCCTTTTTTACTGACATTTAAGCTATCCCTCAGCACTACCAGTATCTCCTGATGCCTTCTTGCAATACTTTATCGAGAAACATGATCTACAACAGAATCTATTCCCCTGCTGGCTATATG